AGCTTTAAACATCATCTTATCAGGGGTGATATTTGTTCTCTAAGAAAGGATGCAGCAATTGTTTAAAGTCCTGACAATTGGGATTTGGGAGGGAAAATAAACAGGAAAGCTCTAGGCTGCCTCCTTCCATGCCAGAAGCTCTGGTTGCTGTGATGTTTGTTGTGTGTCTGCGGCTACAGTCCTGCACACATTTATCTGGGAATATGTCCTGTTGAACTGAGTGCAAATGATTGCAGTCTCTCTGTCTCTCTCTGTGTGTCTCTCACACGCATACACACAGAGCATTTTGTTATGTACACCAAGCAAACAACACTCCCTGCTTCTAAGGTCCTCAGAGGCCCAGTCCTTACTATTTCATGTTTTAGTCCATCTAGAGAACCACAGGACTAGTAAATAGATGCCACTGCTTGGATGGACTGCATGAGGAATGGGCCTGTTTTAAATTACCAAAGTGAGGGGAGGGAATAGGAGCGAGGCAGATAACAAACTGTAATTGAATGATAGTGATTTCATAAATGCTGCACCATTTGCAGATAGAAAATTAGAGGCTAAGTTTGGTGTTTTGTTTGTTTTCTCAGGGGCAGCAGTTGCGAAAATGTTTTTTGGGGGTGGGAGTTTCAGGCATTAAGTCAGTGCATGTTACTCTTCTTTTATTTTGCCAACCATTCTGACAGTCAAAACAAAATAAAAAAAATCCTTCCAGTAGCACCTTAGAGACCAACTAAGTTTGTTATTGGTATGAGCTTTTGTGTGCATGCACACTTCTTCAGATACTTCTTATCTGAAGAAGTGTGCATGCACACAAAAGCTAATAGCAAACTTAGTTGGTCTCTAAGGTGCTACTGGAAGGATTTTTTTTATTTTGTTTCGACTACGGCAGACCAACACGGCTACCTTCCTGTAACTACATTCTGACAGTGGCAGTGAAAGTCCCCTAGGTGGCTGTCTCTTGTCTCCCCAGAATACCTAGGATATATCATTCCAGTACATTCTGGGGAAAATTGGAAGCCACCAGAAAGCAGCTTCCAAGAGGTACTGTGCCTACATTTAAAATGCTTAAAGTATATTAATAAAGTCAAGGTTGTAAGCTTATGCTAAAATTTATAGTGCAAGCAAACGAACACTAGATGATTTTAATGTAAAATACTACATAGTGATTTCCTTCTTTTGGTATTTTTGTTCATAAAGAAGTCAAGTTACAGTATGTGTTGTATGATTTCATCATAGCAATTTGAGCTAATTAGATTGCCCCGCAGGAGACTTATTGACTAATACAGGAATTAGGGCCTCATAATTGCTGACGCTTACCAATAAACTCTGATTTAGCTGGCTGCACACACTTACACATGAGTACGTCTCATTCATCCCAAAGGAGTTTTCTCGTGAAAAAGCATCATTTATATCTTACAGAACTATCTTACTCAAAAAGAATCCATTACCACTTTTGGAAGTATAGTTTTAAGAGAAGCAAGGTTCACGTCTTAAGAACACAGTGCAATAAAGTGCACCTGACATAAAGGCATATAAAATTAGCATTTGATCTGGGAATCCTTAGTTTATGCAAGCACGCCAATTCCTAGGAGCAGAGGTGTCTTTGGCCCCCTCAGTCTTGAGGAGTCTGAGCGTGGAGCCAAGCGCGGCAAGATTCAGTGGCTGGCTCCTCCTTAGCATGACAAAGGAAGCTGCACTGTGCCGGGCTCCGCGCTCTGCCTCCTCCCGATGATGCAGTATTGTGCAGGCGCCACATACCGCATGCATATCACACACACACGCCATGTGCATGATGTCACACATTTGAGATGCGTGCTGGGCCCCCTCAATCTTAGGTGAAAGATGGTGCTTTTGAACCTCTGGCTAGTGGAAGAATGAAGTAATACATCTGCTATAGAAATATATTTATGGTAACTTGTTTGGATCTGGAACATCTCTCAGTTCAACCTATCTTTTGGAATGTTTCTCCCTGTATAAAACCTCTGCCTCATAATTTCATTTAGGACAAGAAGAATGACCTCCAGTGATAGACTCTCAAGTTTTGGTCTTCAAGAGGCAAGGACAGATGTTTGTCTTCTAGAAAGATTTTGACTGATGTTCAAACTTTTGTTTGCGGGTTGAATCCAATGAAGTTATTTTGTTCACAGAATAGCTTCTACTTGTTAAACTGAACTTTCCCTCCTCTGTATGCTCCCACAAAATCTGTTCCAGAGGATTGGGGGAAGCCCTACAACAGATTTTCTTTTTTGGGGGAAGGGGAGATTCCACTGCATGAGTGGGAACATTTTAATTTATTTAGATTTTAGAATCTTAGGTGTGTGTGTGTGTGTATATATATATATATATATATATATATATATATATATTTGTTGTTGTTTAGTCGTTTAGTCATGTCCGACTCTTTGTGACCCCATGGACCAGAGCACACCAGGCACTCCTGTCTTCCACTGCCTCCCGCAGTTTAGTCAGACTCATGTTTGTAGCTTCGAGAACACTGTCCAACCATCTCGTCCTCTGTCGTCCCCTTCTCCTTGTGCCCTCAATCTTTCCCAACATCAGGGTCTTTTCCAGGGAGTCTTCTCATCTCATGAGGTGGCCAAAGTATTGGAGCCTCAGCTTCAGGATCTGTCCTTCCAGTGAGCACTCAGGGCTGATTTCCTTCATAATGGATAGGTTTGATCTTCTTGCAGTCCATGGGACTCTCAAGAGTCTCCTCCAGCACCATAATTCAAAAGCATCAATTCTTCGGCGATCAGCCTTCTTTATGGTCCAGCTCTCGCTTCCATACATCACTACTGGGAAAACCATGGCTTTAACTATACGGACCTTTGTTGGCAAGGTGATGTCTCTGCTTTTTAAGATGCTGTCTAGGTTTGTCATTGCTTTTCTCCCAAGAAGCAGGCGTCTTTTAATTTCCTGACTGCTGTCACCATCTGCAGTGATCATGGAGCCCAAGAAAGTAAAATCTCTTACTGCCTCCATTTCTTCCCCTTCTATTTGCCAGGAGGTGATGGGACCAGTGGCCATGATCTTCGTTTTTTTGATGTTGAGCTTCAGACAATATTTTGCACTCTCATCTTTCACCCTCATATGTGTGTGTGTGTGTGTGTGTGTGTAAAACAGCTTTCTAAGTTCAACTGACTTGATTTTTTAAAGAAAAGGTGAGAAAAAATCACTAACTAAATATATAGCAATCAATGTTCCAATGTACTTCAGCAATACAGTTAAGCATTTAGCTGTATTCTTATGTTCCATCAACTTTAATGAGACTCAAGTACAAGCAATTTTAGTCCTGGAACATATTCCCTTATTCCACATTCTTCAAAGCATTGTGCTGCTCCTATTTTATTGGTTTGTGGTGATGGAGCACTTTAAGATCACAGCTAAATTCAACATATCCACCCTCTTTAAAGTTCTCTACAACTGGAAAGATGAATGACTCAGTGGAATATGAATTATTTTACAAAACTTTTTTGTACATGCAAATCACTGTTTAATGTAAACTATTGATTCTTGGGAAATTTAGCAGTACCACATATTCCACTGTATTTTATTTGTAAGATTTTGCTGAAAGTGCATCTTTCTCTTAGAGTAATTCTGCACACCAGTTATATCGGGAGTGGAGGGAGAGAAACACCTCTGCTCTGCCAGATGTATGGCAGCTGTACCTGATATGTTTTCTGCTGGGGAGGGGAAACAAAAACCATACAGCCAGCAAATACAGCCTCAAAAGGCAGGTGTGACTCCAGTGTCCTTTGAAACTCTGCCAGGGCCCACTAATCAAGCACTGGGTGCCAGCCCTGATGTCCATATTCCTCTCCCTTAGAGGGAGAAAATGAACTTGCAAAGAGAGGAACATTCTCTCACACAACACTCCCTGTATCTCTATAGCCAGTCTACTGGGGAAAGGGCTTTAGCACTAGTCCCTAGATAACAAGTGTGAAGCCCTTTCAGGACATACCCTGTTCCACCAGGAATATATTTCACGCTGGTGTGTATTTCAAGTTCCACTGGAGTAATGGGGCTTCTGTCAAAACCTGCACCCCCTCAGGAAGCAGAAAACACATATAAGATTGTGCTCAAAACATATTTCCTGATTTAAGAGTGCTTTTTGACTATTTGACTGAGGGAGACTACTTGGGGAAGCACCACGACTCAGAAGAAAAGCAAAGCAGAAAGATATAGAGCCAGAAATGAAACTCAGCTGATATAAGTTAAATGGGTAATGTGATTCAAATAGAGCCCCAGTATTGGTATGTAACAGATATATATATATATTAAATCAATTCACTTTTCCATCACTCCAATGGAAACAACATGATCTGGTGTGTGTTGGCTGTACTAGTATCTATGGTTACAAGCACTTAGCCCCATAAAATGCTCGATCATGTGCAGTTTGTCTGGCATATCTTTCCTTTCTACATAGCAGAGTTACTGATGTTGCAAAAAAAGAAAAAAAGGGAAAGCAGAAAACTGGTGTGTGGAGAAAGCGATAGAAAAGGGAGAAAGGGCTAAGACATTCCATTTTCCCCGCTAAGTCCAGCTCCCTCAGTTGAAATTTACTCTGTAGGGGTAAATATAAAAGGTAGAAGTGTAAAGACTTCAAAATAAAATCATGCCTGTCTTCCACTTTAGTTTTTAGTTATTCTGGCTGCACTTCACAAAACAAAAAAGCAAGGGAGGAAACTTTATGTGTTTCACCATGTTTAGTTTAAATCTTATTAAAAGCCTGCTTATGTGTGCATGGTTTTGATGAAGAAGTGCACCACACTATTATTAGGATTTGGAGTGAAATGGCTATAATATCAGTGTTACAACTGTGCTGAAAATACAATATGCAAAAGAGACTTGTATGTAGTTCTGGTTGAACAGTTCATCATAAATATTTGATGCTGAGAGCCTTTTTTTCTCCACTTTATGAATTATAAATAGAGGATACCATAAACATTTTGATTTGCTATAGAAATAGATACTTGCCAACCAATATGCTTCTATACAATTATGTGCAGATATCGCCAGCTTTCATCTTGTCTTCCTGAAGATTTTGCTTAGAGGGAGCTCCTGTGGACTTTATCTGATACATGCAACCAAACACATGTGTCCGGGAAGTATAGGATCATCAAGGTTGAATTTGCTGATCACATGATGTCGGAGGTGCTAGAGAAGACAGAGAGGAGGCAACATTCCGTGTATCATTCTGGATTGCTCCCCCCATTTTACTATACAGGTACTCATGCTCCATGCTGCAGAGCATGGGTTTGCCCATTGATAAATAAATCCATATTTTGTAGCAAAGGTGTTTTATGAATGGTCACTTATCTGGTGATAGTTGGCTTGGTAGGAGTAACTAAATGTTTTTTATGTGTTTTAGCAGACTGCAAGCTAAACAACACCATCGTTTAAGAGGGATATAGACAAAATGGAGCATCTGCACAGAAGGGTAGTGAAGATGATGTGTGGCCTGGAGGCCAAGTCCTATGAGGAAAGGCTTAAGGTATGTTTAGCCTAGAGAAGAAATAATTACGAGATGATATTTCCATTTACAGTGGTACCTCGGGTTACATACTCTTCAGGTTACATACGCTTCAGGTTACACCCTCCGCTAACCCAGAAATAGTGCTTCAGGTTAAGAACTTTGCTTCAGGATGAAAACAGAAATTGGGCTGCAGGGGTGCGGCAGCAGCAGGAGGCCCCATTAGCTAAAGTGGTGCTTCAGGTTAAGAACAGTTTCAGGTTAAGAACGGACCTCCGGAACGAATTAAGTACTTAACCCGAGGTACCACTATATTTAATTCGTTCCGGAGGTCCGTTCTTAACCTGAAGCACTATTTCTGGGATAGCGTAGTCTGTAACCTGAAGCGCCTGTAACCCAAGGTACCACTGTATTTAAAGGGCTGTCACACTGATGGACCAAACTTTTTTCTGTTGTTTCAATGGGTTTAAATTTTGAGAGAGGGTGTTTTGACTGAACACTGGAAACAGCTTCCCATGCTAGAATGCTGGAGCAGATGGCCTTGAAAAATAGTGGTCTCTCCTTTCTTGGAGTTTGCACTCTGCTCCATAGGCAACTGGCTGGTTGCTGTGAAAACAGAATGCTGGATAATATGGGTCTTTGGCAGTAGATTTCCAGCATAGGTGGGGGACTTTTGAGGTCCCTTTCAACTCCATGGACCTATGATGTGGGATGCTGCATATCTGGCCAATGAGATAAAAGCACGCAGGAGGAGTTGACGTTATGATATAAAGATTATTGTTTCAGATGAGGCAGACGAGATATGAATATTATCTGGTGCTGCTATATTGGCTTCCTCATAGATTATGTGAATAGTGTTGTGAGGCTGGTGCAGTCACCTGGGGTAAGCCCCACTGAATGCAGGTGGAGATACTTCCAAATAAATATGCATTATATTGAGCCTCCAGTGCTGCACTTTGTATTGGTAAGCATGTCAGCCTTTCCCAAGATCCGCCTGATGGGGTGTGTGTGCGCGCGCACACACATGCAGTGAAGAGGAATATGGGACTGGCAGCTTACCATAGATATGTGATACACCAAGTCAGATGATGAGAGAGACAATATGCAGACTAGCATGATAGCTTGGGTGGGGGGAGAAAAGGTAACATCACTGGCGGCTGTTCATACAGAAGTTTGTTGTCATAGATTTGGGATCCTCGGTGCTCTGTGTGTGTGTGTGTGCCTGTGCACATCTCTCTGCAGTGGAGAGATCTGAGTCAGCCACACCTCCACATTTTTATTAATAGATACACTTTAGTTCTCTCATCTCCTGCTGTCAATTCCTTAGATTGTTAGACAATCCTACATAGTGTCAAGAAAGGCAAGGGAAGGAGACAGAATTGAGGGAAACCCACTCAGAAATTTCAGCTTCTTTCTGCTCTCCTCTTAAATGTCACATAATTGCATGCTGCTTTCTTCCTTCCATTCTTTAGGGCATAGAGAAGGGAAAGGTGCACACACACAATCAGGGAGTTGCTGCTGCAGTATATGAACCTGCTTATGCTGTGTCAGCCCTTTGGCCCATCCGGTACAGTACTATTACATCACATTGGCAACAGCTTTCTGCCAAGAGTCCAGAGACAGGTGTTTCCTAGCCATGCTATATCTGAAATGCTTGAATGAAGATGCTACAAACTGAACAGGGATCATCCACATTAAAGCAGCCCCTGAGGGACCAGCCTCCTAATCCCAAGTGAGTTTCACCTTTTCAATATTTATAGCAGGTGCCCTCCCTCTGCAGAATGGTTTGCAGCCTCCCAGAAGTGAAGGGAGGACAAAGTCCTGGCTAATTCTACCTCCATCGGCTGTTCCACCTGCAATGTCAGAAGCAGTATGCCTCTGAATACTAGTTGCCGGGAATTGCAGGTGCGAGGAGTCCTGCTCCCCCCAGTGCTGCTTGCAGACTTCCCAAAGGCAATTGGTTGGCCACTGTGACAATATCCTGGACTAGATGGTGCATGTGTGCATGCACACACACACAGTGCATTAGCTGAGATTCCTGCATTGCAAGGGGTTGGACTAGATGACCCTTGGGGTGCCTTCCAACTCTGATTCTAGTCTGTGATCATAGGCACTGGTTGTATATATGTGTAATTAAATTATATATCATAAATATCACACTCTCCGTTGTCCTTCATTTCAAGGAACCCGAACACTGGTTAAGCACTTGAGGTGGTGTGCAGCAATATATCTCTTTTTTGCAAAATCAATCCAAAAGTTTTGGGAAGACCCTGAATGCCTCTGAAGCAACCTCCTTCAGTTTGGGACTTGCATGTACCAAATGCAAACCCCTAATAGCCACAGAAAGCTGTGGGAAACTCTAAAAAATGGAACGTAAGGGTAGGTTTCTAATTCCATGGACACCAGTGATTAAGCATATACAACCAGGGTAACAGATGTTTCAATTAATTAACAAGTGAGCAAGAAACAATACGCTTTTTAATACTTTTCAGCTAAGTGTGCCCAGCTGAGTTCACAGCTCAGGCAAAGTTCCACTCAAAATGTGTGCGTGATATAAAAGAGGATTATTTCATATTCCTCTCTTTCTCCTTACCCCTGTAGCTTGTCCTCCTACTCACACTTCTATTTAAAGGCTCATAAATCAGTTCAAACTTTTCACTTTAAAAAAACCATCATTCTATTTCTATAAATGACTAAATGATGTCTCATATTATTATTACAAAGAATGGTATCAGAAGACAAATGGATTCCTTTCTTTCTTCAAAATGTTCACCATTTCATTGTATTTGATTCCATTTTATTTTTCCCAAAGAAAGAAAGGAAAAACGGATAAATGTTTTTGGAAAAGATAAAACCAATTGTACATCTAAATATACGAATAATGGGTTGGATCCAAAGAACCACATTACTAGTCTATGCTTGAAAAGTGTCCAAATGCTGCAGTCAGGTGGCTGCCAGGTGCGAGGCATTTTTGTCTATCTTCCAATTACTGGCCACAGTTTCCTGGTCACAAATGGTAAAGTGATATTAAGAGTGCTGTGCATACAACCATCTGCTTTATTCTACCATGCTACTTCCTTCTGTGTCCATAATCATAACATCTGATCACCCCTTAGATGTGCATCAAGCAATATCATGAGCATAATTACATATAGATATTATTTCACCTGATACATCCCTAAGGTTTGCACTCACAATCACAGCCCTAACAGCTCTCAAAAATAGGATGTCTACTTAACAGAGGACACTCCAAGAGAAAACCTATGCTATAAAGTAAAATCTGCCAAACAGCTCTACAGGTCAACTTGATCCCAATGTTTGGGCATCGCTTTGAATTGAAATTGGATGCTGTCAGTGACAGTTTAATTTAAGTCAAGCATCTTGCACTTCCAAAGCATAAGGCTTAAATTGCTAACATCCTGTTTGGAGATAGCAACTAAAGCTGAAACAAAAGGAAAGCATAAAAAGGAAAACATATACTTTATAAGCTTCACAGACTCAAAAAAAAAATGTTATGAAGGTGCAAAGCACTATCTATATAAAGCTAAAGTTAAGGTAAAGGACCCCTGGACAGTCCAGTCAAAGGTAACTACAGTGGTACCTCGGGTTAAGAACTTAATTCATTCTGGAGGTCCGTTCTTAACCTGAAACTGTTCCTAACCTGAGGTAGAGGTATCACTTTAGCTAATGGGGCCTCCCGCTGCTGCCGCGCCGCCACAACGTGATTTCTGTTCTCATCCTGAAGCAAAGTTCTCAACCTGAGGTACTATTTCTGGGTTAGCAGAACTGAACTGACCTGACTGTACCTCTTGGACTAATGTGAAGGTCAGTACACATCTACTCATTGTATTTTTCTGAATGCTGTAACATAGTTCTGCCTCTCTGTTTAGAAATGCATAGTTTGAGGGAGAAATTCTGCATAAATGTTTGCATAAGATACATATTTATATGTGATCCTTCCCAGCAGAAACAAGATGGTAGATTTTCAAGTAAGCTTTTGCAAATGACATGGACCAAATACAGATTAATATATATAATTGAGAACTTCCAATTAATAGTACATACAAAGTTCAGTTTAACACCATGAAACATCTATAAATTTATCCCCACAACACAAATTCCTAAATGCAAGCCTACATAACTAAAGGTGGCTCAAATAGAGAGTTCTTACACTGATTTTAAATGATAAAATTAATGCTCACATTTGAGGGTTTTTAAAAAAAACATTATAGAAGTTAGAACCAATACAGTATTCAAATATTCACTAATGAGAGCAATGGTGTCTTGATTCCCTTTTCAAAGAAAAATACCTACTCACAGTCACAGTTCATGATCCCAGTCTGAGGACACATAATGCTGAAGCTAAGCAGGCCTGTGTCTGGTCTGGGCTGAGATGGGAGACCTCCTGGGAATGTCAACGATGCTTGTCTTGAGTTCAACTGTGGAAGAAAGGTGGGAATATAAATGTACTTATTAATTTGATCTGTATATGCCCTGATACATCTGGGATGTTCCATTTATATGTTAATAGCACCATAGCTTGTTACCATGGAAACACCTATGAAGTTGTAAACAGTAAATGGTTAAAATTAAATCACTGAAGATATCATCCAAAAGCAAACAAGAACACCTGTAGATATCTGTTAAAAAAAAAACAACAACCCAAGATATCATAAGTCTGGTTTTTTTAAGGAACAGCACAAACAAGAAAATTAAGCCTGCAGTTATTTTAAAATGTATTTTAAAAAGTTTGTTTAAGTCTTTGAGTTCTGGAGAAACACTGACATTGACAGATGTATTCACCCGTCAGTCTCTCTTAACTGACACTTCATCTCACAGTATTTAAATAACTTTGTATGGTACCATATGCTACATTTGGTACAAAATGCAAGATATTCTATAGATAACATTTCTGTTAGTGCAAGCAGGGAAAGAATGTCTGCACTGATGATGTGGTTGCCTTCATTGATGTGACTGCTGGCAGGCTTGGAATAAAAAACACTATAAATGCTGAATAGTCTCAATCCACATGTGTTATTTTGATTGCCATCAGCAATGTGTGGTTCAGCTGTCTGCTGCTGCGACATCTATTTTTTGCTTTCACCATCATTCTTTCTATACTAGTTTCCTAATTAATTTTTCCATTACACTCAGTGGTGACTACAGTCACAAACCACACCCTACTTGTGGTGAATGTGTGCATGTACCAAGATGGTCTACCAGGCTTGCATGCTGAGCACACTGCTTTATGGAAGTGAGTCACAGGCAACTTACAACCGTCAAGAGTGAGGGCCTCAACGTCTTCCACATGGGCTGCGTCAGGAGGATTTGGGGTATCACGTGGCAGAACAGAATTCCAAACAAAGATGTGCTCTCTCAAGTCCACATGTTCACACTCCTGTCTCAGTGACATCTACACTGGCTTGGTTGTGTCCACAGAATGGAAGATTCTACAGGGAGCTGGTTTCAGGCACCAGTCCTATTGGCAGACCGACTCTGGGATACAAAGATGTCCGCAAACATGAAAGGAAGGCTGGCAACATCAGCCCCATCCTGTGGGAATCCCTTGCAGATGACCGCAGAGCCTAGAGACAGACAGACAGGTTGTGTGTCCGTAGCAATGGCCAGAGGAGGAATGACTGTTGGGAGTAGAGCAGAGAGAAGAAACACCATGGTGCTTTAGAAGATGATAAATGCCATCCACAGTCACTTTAGAATCACATTTGGAAAGGACCACAAGGGTCATCTAGTCCAACCTCCTCCTGAATCTTTTTGCCCAATGTGGGGCTCAAACCCAGAACCCTGAAATTAAGAGCCTCATGCTCTACTGACTGAGCTATCTCTCGGTTGTGGTGTGTGTGTATATTTTGCCAGTCTTAACCGTACCCTTCACTTACTTTCAGTTTCTTGCGTGTATTGCTCATCCAAACACATTCAGGAATGAAATGTCAGAGGTATTTTGTGTGAAGAATATAAGCAACGTAAAGTGCATATTATCTCATATTGTCAAGTAGTATTATGAAATCATTGCCGTGGCATACTTTTAACTTCAGCTTACTTCAAGTGCTACACAATGAAATTGTCTTGGGAAAGTTTGGAAATGTTGAATATATGGATAATGAGAAGCATCTGACAATTATTCATCCCTTTGAGGAGTTTCAAAACTTGGGAGATATGCTGCTAGATTCTATGATGAATAAGGCAGAGAAAAGGCATCTAAAAAGACATGGTGAAGCATAGGCAGAAATGTAGTTTTCTTTTTCAGCTACTCATTATATAAAAAGTGAAGTTATATTCAAGAACAAGACTTAAATGTAAATGAGATTCCATGTAGTGTCATAAGCTGCCTGCAGGCCCAAAAATCTGCAGTATCAATATTCAGAATTTGATATGAAAAGAATAAATAATTATTTTGCTGAATCATAACTCTGTTGTATATGATAGCTTTCTACTATACCTCACAATATGAAAGGATCATTTTGAACACCTGAAGAGTATTATCAGAGCACAGCTTGGATGACAAACCAAGGCAGGTTTGTAAGACTCACCTCAATATGAAGCAAACATCACAATCCTGAAAATCCTTTTCCAGCTAGGTAGGGTTGCCAACTCTGGCTGAAGAAATTCCTGGATATCCCCCCCCCCCCGCAACCCAGATCAAATTTCTACATACTGCTATACTCAGCGAAGTGCTGATTAGCAGCAGTCATGTTTCCTAGTTTGCTCGTTTTATTTTTCCTCTCATAGCTATTTGCTACAGCTGTGCATCAACTTTGGACAAATCCATGATCCCCAACTAAATCAAGCCCAATTGGGATTTGCTAGGAGCATATTAAGGCAGCCCCAGATCACCTTGGGTCAGCACGCAGAACGATCTGAGGCTAACAAAATGGGGGTGGCAAGCATATGTTTTGAATCCTAATTAAACATGTCATTGATGGTTGAGGAGAAAAGGAGGTGATACAGGCAGAGACTCTTACCTGTCCTCC